TGTTACTGATAAAAATCCACATTTATAAGCTAGTTCTTGACTTTTGATTTAGCTTTGTCTTTGAAATTAAGCAAATAAGCTATAATAACTACTCTGATTGTATCAGTGTTTGTCTTTTCTTTACGCCTGATTCAGTTCTTTTTTGATTGCCTGGAGATTCTGTCTTTTTTACGTGTCCAGAACTTAAGGGCTTAAGTCTCAAATGTTTGGTTCATTTTTTTTTGTTGATTTTCTTTTTCTTGGCAATAGGATCTCATTATATATTCTAGGTCTGTCTAGATGTTGCTGTGTAATTCAGGCTGCTTGAAAGTCATGGTGATTCTCCTGCCTCTGCCTCCTGAGTGCTGGGGATATTGGTAGGCACTACCACACCAAGCTTATGTCTCGAATTTAGCTCATATTTCCCTTCACGTGGAAGCAGTTAACTCACCACACTGTAATGTGTTCCTCATTATGAAGGTTGAGAAAAACCGAAAAAGAAAGGAAAAGAAAGTAAATGTGATCTAAAAGTGGAGAGAGATAGAGAGGGAGAGAGGAGGGGAGGGGAGGGGATGAGGAGCTGATAGGACAGGAGTGGTAGGGAAGAGAGGGGAGGAGAGAGAAAGGCACGAGCAGGAAGGGAAGGGTGAGCAAGGAGATGTACCCTTTGCTATGCTGATGACCATCTTACTGCCGTTCAGCAGAGAGAAGACAACAAGTGCTGGCCAATGTGGCAATGCAGGCTGCCAAGCAGGATCAGAAATATAATCCAAGCCAAGTTGAGCACTGTAGACTTCTGCTCCCTTTCTGCCTCATCTATCTCTTGTTTCATATTTGTCAGTGGCAAAAACATGGGAAGGACTCAGTATTGTGTATAATGATGAAACAACAGAGTGATAAATAATAAGGTCTCAAGGACTCTTGTTCCTGCTTTAAAAATAATGTCTTTTACAAAAATTGATGAATATTGACTGATTTTTTTTTCCATTAGAACTGTCGGGGCTAATTATCAAAGAGTACTCAAATAACTTGACAAAATATGACAAATATAAATTATTTTCCTATCAAGTTTTCTACATGCTGTGATAGAATCCAATTTTATTAAATATTGATTTGATTCTTAAATGACTGCCAAAATTGTGAGAAAGAGATTGTAAGGATATCTTATACCCCAAGAGTACTAAGTGACACACACAGACTATTGGGTCTAAGCCAGAAAAAATATAATCTCTGAGATGTACTATTTTGTTTCTAATTCTAGTATCATTGCTATAAAAATACTAAGCATTGGCTTCTCTGGATTCATCAAAATAAGTGAGAACTTTTTATATGTGTGTGTATTTCATGCTGACAGTGATGTGCACAGCTAGCATCCAGCTTCCTGCAGAAGCTGACTCACTAGCAAAAGAGAGGCAGCCAACTGTGACTGTCCTTTCAAAGCCCTGCTGATCCTAACAGCTTAAGACCCCACAAAGAAGAGTGAAGCCAAGGACAGCCTCCCTAGAGCCCAAACAAGTAGTGTTGACTACGTATTTAGACATGGGTGGCAAAGAAGCCTCTATTCTGCTTTGAAGTACAAAGTTAGTTTTGCCTCCTGGTCAAAAAATCCTTCTCTTACTCTATTAGGTTGTCGTTCTACAATGGACACCTGTGAATATCCCCTTCCAGAGAAGTTACAGGAAAACACTTGATAAGGTAGGAAATTTTTCTACCACAAGGGGATGTTAAAATCTCCATATTTTACTTCAACATATGAACATTAGGGCAGTGTCTCTTATCCTTTTTTATACCCGAGAGTGCCCATGTAATAAAATTCTGGGCACATTCCTAAATATCTCTCTCTCTCTCTCTCTCTCTCTCTCTCTCTCTCTCTCTCTCTCTCTCTCCACACACACACACACACACACACACACACACACACACTATTGAAGGAGATCTGAAGTGCTTTCCACAATACGTTGCTCTCTACTTTTCTTCTTTGTCCATCCATCTCTCATACTACTTAGAATATGACCTCTGCCATATTAAATTACAGGCAGGATTCAGTAGACCTTGGCAGAGGCTGAGCCCCAGAGGAACTCAAGAGGCACACACACCAGAGTACATATCTCAATAAGACTACTTCTCTCCTCTTTAAAGCGCTGTTCTTCATGGGTTTTGTGGAGTATTTTGGAGTTTTTGTTATTTTTATTGTTCTTGGTGGTGGTGGTATGTTTGTTGTTGAAAAACTCACACCTAAACGAAAATCTAACACATTCACCCATATAAGGTAGAAGATGTATATTAAATCAGATCTCTTTCAGATTTTGACCAGTATATTGATGGTGCTCATGTCTATTATTTAAATATCAGGTTCAATTTGAAATTTGTTTTCTACATGGAGTGAAATAAAGGGATGTTTTATGGAAAAGATTTTCTTAGCTAAAGGACTCAATCAGGAAAAACACAAATACAGTTTGCTTAGATATAGAATGTCCCTAAGGGTAAATGGCAATTTTAATCCAGGTTGTTTGTCTGGGATAATGTTATCTGACTTTGATGTGACCCACAGGGAATTGTCCTTGTAAAATGATGCATGATGAATCTCACTGTGAGATGCTTTGACATTTTGGGAAGAAACAGTTTGCAGACATCCTGGCCTGGAGCAACTCTTGCTTCTGCCTGAATACTCACTCACCCACGACTGCAACAGAAATCTCTCTGTAAAATGTCATAGCCAAGAAGAAATGAATGAAAGACTGATTATCACTTGGAGAAAATCCCAATGGCAATGGCTATTCCCTAACACAAATATTCAAGGTAATAATTTCCCAGGCTCCAAGACGATCAAAGGGGCCTATAAACCCATTTGAGAGATTAAATTAAGTGCAACGTTTTATCATTAGGTGATATGTATTCTCCAGAGAGCTTTGAAGATGTCAACGACTCCTAATGCTCTAGAAATATATAAAAATAATATATGCAATTTATTTCTGCTCACTGTGGTCCTCTAAGCCTGGCACAAATTTCTTCTGACAGGTTGCTTGAGTGCCTGCTTCCCAAGATTGATTTCAGATATTAGACACAAATCCCACTTACTTGAGTGTTGTCTGCCCTTCAACACTCAAGAAGGATTTGTACAGGGATACTGCTACCTAACTGTGGGAACGTTAAGCTTTCTGCTGATTCTTCAGGATCAAGATACAAATCTGTTCTCTTTTCCTAGTGTAGTGAATTTTCTCAATGCTCTTATCTGTTTGGTTTGAAATATTAATGTTGCTTGAAGTTTACACCTCCACACATCATGATTTGTGTGCTGACTTCCCAGAAATATTATCACTATGTTTCTCATGATCAGTTCTATGCAAATAACCTTCAAAATGGCTCAAGTTCTGAAATTCCTTTCATGAGTTAAATCAGATGTGTTCTGCTTGTATTGTATGGCTGTGATATAAAACATGAAAACAAACACAGTTTGCATTTTACCTGTCCTTCTGCTTTCAGTCTGTGTGTCTGCTTCAGTTAATGACTATGGAATCATTATCATTTCTAGCATACAGAATATGAATGTTATTATCTATTCCCCTAACTCATGAGCTTGTATCAGCCCTCATAGCTACTGACTTACTTCAAAGTCAAGGACAAGGAACTCTCTCAAGGAACTGAAGCAGTTGCAAAGTCAAGGAGAGTCTTCCCAGGGACACAGAAGAGCAGGTGCTAGCCCTTACCACTCAGCGCACACAGTAGCTCCTGGGTTGTGTGCTTGTCTTCATTCTGATTGACCCTGTCCTCCAAATACATGTTCATTTGTCCATCGTCATAACTCAGTGTCAGTATCCTCCCGACTTAAACCACCTTCCATCTTGTTTCTGGAGACATCCGTTTCTGAAGAAACTTAATCCAGTTATTTATCTATTAGAAAAAATAAAGTTCACTGCACTCAAAGAGAATCTGTATTTCTTCCTTAAGCATGAATCTCAGCACAATATATTTTGTCTTCTCAGTGAAAATTGGTGAGTACACAGTTACCTAGATACAGTCTGGACAATGGAGTTCACAGTTCCTACTTTTATGAAGTCTAGATTGAACACTGTGTGATCACAAACAATATTAAACACAATAACCCCCAAATCTAGGGCCATTACGGAGTAAAAATAAGAAACATAAAGTCAAGCTCAAGATTGTGACTCAAAAGTAATTCCAATCTTCACAAGTTATTCTTACAAAATATTACCAGAAATTCAATTTATATCCTACTGTAACACTCCATAAAATATATTTTCCTCCCTTGCCCACTAAAATTCCACTTTCTCTAGAAATGTAGACTTTATTATTTGCTAACTCCTTCAAATTCTTCTTCAGTGTACCCAAGAAGCATTTCAGTTTTTCTTACTGGCTTCAGATTTCAGGGGTTTCGTTTTTGTACCGTGTTCTTTTAATCCATCTCTTATATTCTGCAACATAAAAGCAAATATAGGAATTGATTCTTTTCTGTGCCCTTGCTAGTTCTGACATAACATCTTTTGTTCTACAATAATAATAGTAATAATGATAATAATAATTGCAAGAGTAGTATCTGCCGCAGAAGGAAGTCTTATTCAGTTGAAAAATGGAAGGAAGACAGTTTTTGAATACTCACCCATTAAAAACATTGTATCTTAAAATTATTAGAAAATTTACCAAGGGACTTCTTGGCAACAATGATCTATTCTAAAATAGCAAGGGAGTGGGGTTTGTCAATCAAACAGCTCTCAGAAGGGATGTGGACGGAGTTGAGTTGAGAGAATGAGGTCATTTACAGAGAACAAGGTCAAGAAGGCATCCCACTTGAAACAGGAGATTCAAGCAATGGCAGTACCTTAGTCCCAAGGCTGGAAGTATGTGTTCCATATGAACATACAACTCACCTTTGAAATCACAGACTGCCATGAAAAATAGAAGGTGGTAGAACTCCTGGCCCAAGTGTAGATCCAGACTCACAAGGGACCAAGCAATTCTGAAACACTGGCAAAAGAAACCAATCAAGTAATTATAACTGTGAACTATAGCTACCCAGATTTGTATGTGTATCTGTCTGCCTCTATCGGTGTGTCTGTGTATCTGTCTGTGTCTATGTGTCTAGAGACAGCAGAAACAGACTAGTGTGTAAAGAGTCACCCAGAGCACTGGGGATTTCAGATTTCTAATTATCAGATGTGTCAAGTAATTAGTAAATAGAAATGTCTATCATTTTCACCTCCAACATCCCTGAGCTAGACAGGTAGATGCCTTTTTTGAAAGTTAGCTCTCCTCATTAGAAGGAATAGAGACAACAGCTCAAATTAGAATCTGTGGTTTACTGTGTGCAAAGAGGACATGAGTTCCCAATGACTTGCTTTTCATTTAATATGAAGCTATAGAAACCATCCAGGTTGATGTGTTTATATGTAAATCATTTATTCTCATGTGAAAATCCACTGTGCAAATTGATTATTTAATCAACTTGTTTTATCAAACCCAGTGACTTCCAAAATCTTTGCTTTCATTGAAGCCATTACTTCTGTCTTTTCTCCCAGACCATGTGATGACAAATATGTTGGGGTCAGAAAAGACAACAGCAGTATTCTCGATGTGCTTAAAGTGAAAGACAGAGGTATTTCACATGGGGAAGTCACACTAAGAAAATGAGCTATAAAATCAAGAAGGAACTGTGAGAGCTAAAATCTCTAGTTTGAAAAAAAAATCACTAAGTTTTCTGAAAAACAAATTGGACCTCAGGGGAGAAATGGATCATAATCCATAATCCCAGGCAGATTCCAAAGCCCACTGCAGCTAGTTTAGCCAAAAGCTCAAACTTATGGTTCAGAGAGACGTCCTGTCTCATGGCAATGAGTTGGGGTGGGAGTAACAGAATAAGATAATTAACAACTGGCCTCTACATGCATAGAGATGCAGACACACAAAGAGAGAAGTACATAGAGTATATAGAGTACATATACATCTATATCTAACAGATGCACACAGATGCATGTGCACATTTATACCGCACACACACACACACACACACACACACACACACACAGAGGTTCATATGTGCATCTATACCACTATACCACACACACACACACACACACACACACACACACACACACACCAAAAGGAAGAAAACAAAAAGATGTGGCTTAGTGGCTCACTAGTAGAGGCCTGGCTCTCGTACACGAGATCATGCATTTGATATACCACAAGAAAATGGCAAGACAAGGAGGAAAAGTGGTCAACTAACTTGAAAAGAATGAAATATGCACCATTCACATAGAAACAATTCAAGATGAAATATAAAAAGAAAGCAGAATGAGCAGTAAGAGAAGAAAGATCCCGACTAGGAGTCACTTTTGGTAGAGACCTTTAAAATATATGTGCAACTGGAGGACTGGTTAAGGAAGAGTAAGAGGCACGTGGTTAAAACACAAGAGATAGTGTTCCTATATCTACCATATTTGATAAAGCTGTAAATACACAGATGTAAGAATGCTAACAAACTCCACATAGGGTAAATTCAAATGGAGAAAGCTAAGTGGAAAACAGCCTTTAGTGGAAATAAAAAATTACAGTAGCGGAAATACGTGAAAACAATCATGAACTCTCTTAAGTAATGGCTGAGAATCAGGTCTTTTAGAGATAAGTTCCCCCCATTGCAATTTAAATGTCACCCATTTCATTTGGTAGTTGTATAAATAGAGGTAAGTCATTTCCTCTCTAATTCAGTTTCCCGTGTATTGACAATATCAGAAGCTATGCAAAAGATTATTATGCAGATTACACATGTTAATCTCTGAAAAGAATTTAGGGCAAACCCTTACATAACCTAATCACTTACAGTGAATGTTAGATAAAATAATAAACTTGGAATGACAGAATTGAAAAAAAATAGAAATAAATAGGATAAAAAGATGATAGAGAGACTTGAATTATATAAAATTGAATGTGTTTCTTTGAAGCGAGGTCTTTATGCAGCATTGGATGACCTGAAACTTGCTATGGAGACCAGGCTAGCCTCAAACTACAGATATATCTGCCTGCCTAGTCCAAGTACTGGGAATAAGCTTTGTAGCACTATGACTAGTTGAATTTGCCGTCTATATGTTTTCTTATATGTTTCTGCTCCCATATCCTAAAATTTGACAAAACAGGGTATGTTTTACATTAAAACATAATGACAATTCCATATTTTCATGTTGCTAGTGTTATTGACATTGAATTGCCATCCCAAAGAATATGCTTTATGCAAAATATTGCCATAAAATATATATTACTTAAAATTGGATCTTAGTGACATTACTATACTTATATCAATTTTGTATTACTTTAATTTATATTTTAAGAGCTACAAATTATAAAACATATTTTTATGGCATGCAGCTTTTATATATTATATAATAGTGAACTATTTTGTTCTATTCTAGTTTAATTTGGAATAATCCCTGAAATAGATTATCGATTAACTAAAATCTAATCAATTAGCAAAAAAAACCCCACTGTTTTAAAAGAATGCTCATTTTTCTCCAAAATCAAACAAAAACTTTCATAGTATTTATGAGAATCTCTATTTTTTTAATCAATATCATATTTAGCAAACAAACATTATATAGGATCTACAGTATAACTAAAATATTCATTGAGTTTCTGAATTAGCTGTTAGGAATGGATATATAGTGAGCTTCATTTTAGAATGTGTGGCCCCCTTCCTCACACTACTTTTTTCTCTTTGCTATCTGGATTCCGTTATAACTAGAGGAGTAACAGAAGAGATGAGTCAAGTCCTGTTTACCGTGTGATGCTTCTTCCCCAAGTCCCACAAATTAGGAAAGTAAAGTTGCAGAAGAAAAGTTCCAAGGATGGACCACAGAATACAGAGGCGGATGCTCCTCTAGACAGATACTAGTAACTGTTCTTAGTTTTCTCTTTTGTTTTTGTTTTTCTTTTTTTTGAGCTTTCTTTCAGAGTATTGAGCTTAGCAAGGAGCCCATTAAAATATCCAAGGGCACTCACTTGAGACAGTTTTAGTGGAAAAAAAATCAGGCTATGTTAATACCAACATGTTGTAGGGAAAGAAGGATCTACCAGACCACTTCAGAACCAGAACCAAATCTGTTGTCAGCTCGTACGGGTGGAGACAAAAGGACAAACACATTGCTCTTTATTTCACAACACAGCCTTCACCTGGAAATAGTGTTTGACTGCTCACAGGTGCCTCCTACACAGCGTTTCCAAAAGAGCTACTTTTAAAATCCTTATATTTTTATCATCCAATCTTAGACCTGGTAAATAGAGAATGTCCTCCCCGAAAGAGAAACATTTGGAAAGAGAAACCTGTCTCGCCGTTTGATGGTTTATGGCCGTCCGTTGTCATTGTTTAATGAGGCATGATTCACTTCTAAAATAGAAATGAAGTCAGGGATTGCATTATAATTATCTATTTGTAACATATTTGATGTAGGCAGGTAGATAAACACAATGTGGCTAAAATATGCCTTTTTAAAAAAAGGTACGTTCTGTACCTGGAAAGTTGCAATACTTTCCTGCTTTTTCTGAAACAGCATTATTCTACTGTCAGAAACAAAATTAACTTAATGCTAATCACCCATTGGCTTCTCTAGTTCATGGTCACCCAGGCAGTTCTAGGTATAGGTTTTTTTCCTAGTGAGTGGGCCTTGAGTCAAACCAGATATTGGTTGTTTACCACTACAAGCTTTGTGGAACCATTGCTCTCGTATATGTTTTAGGAAGGACAGAATTGTACAGAAAAGGTTTTGTGGCTGGGCTGGTGTTTACATTTCTCTTTTGGTAGCTTTTAGAGTACCTTCTCCATACCAAAGACTTTTTGTTTGTTTTGTTTTGTGGGTTTTTTTTTTTTGTTTGTTTGTTTTGTTTTGTTTTTGGCAGAGTTTCTCTGTTGCTTTGGAGCCTGTCCTGGAACTCACTCTATAGACCAGGATGGCCTCAAACTCACAGAGATCCACCTGCCTCTACCTCCCAAGTGCTGGGATTAAAGGCATGTGCCACCACTGCCGTGATATACCAAAGACTCTTAACAGAGGGGTGAAGGTTTTATGTAGGTACTGGTTCCACCTCTCCATATTCAACAAGTTATGTGACCTAGGGTAAAACCAAATACTACTGGTCTTTAAAAAAGTAGCGATAAAATGACTCAATGATATTTTGTTATACTCATAGATCAGTTCCTTGGTGCATGGTGTATAAAACAATAGCATATTTGGTGACTGTAATTATTTGAAAGAAAATGGCTCCCATAGGCTTATATGCTTTGGTTCCCAGTAGGTAGAATTTTTAAGGAAGGATTAGGAGGTATGGCCTTGTGGGAGGAGGTGTGTCTCCAGGGGTGGGCTTTGAGGTTTGAAAAGCCCATGTCATTCTCAATCTCTCTCTCTCTCTCTCTCTCTCTCTCTCTCTCTCTCTCTCTCTCTGATTGTGATTGTACCTTAAGATATCAGCTTCTTCTAATTCTTTTTCCTGCTCTTGGGACCTTTTTCCTTCTACTGGGTTGCCTTGTATAACCTTGATAAAAGAATATGTGCCTAGTTGTATTGCAACGTTTTATGCTGTGTTTGGGTGATATCCCTAGGAAGCCTTCTCTTTTCTTAAGGGAAATGGAGGGGGAGCAGATCTGGGGAAGAGGGTAGGTGGGGGAATGGGATGAGTGGAGGGAGGAGAAACTGTAGTTTGGATATCATATATGAGGGAAGAATTATTTTTTAAAAAAGTAAGCTTTCTGGTACTACTCCAGCACCATGCCTGCCCTTTGCCATTCTCCCTGCTGTGACAGTCAGGGGCTCAACTTCTGAAAAGGTAAATTTAAAATATTGTCTTTTTTCTATAAGTTGCCTTAGTCATGGTGTCTCATCACTGCAAAAAGAGTAACCAATACAATAGCATGTTTTTTAGAGAAAGAGATCTAGTAGTAGTAGGCATTATTTATTCTGACTATAAAGATAAAGTTCCACATTGTTATTAGTTATTAAATTAGTTGCAGATTTTTAGTCAAAATTCTTAAATAGATTGAAAATATAATTTATATTCTTAGTTTCCAGTACTTTCTAATATGAATGAATGGATGCCCAATTTTGTTGAATAAGTTTTTTTTGCATCCATTGAGATGTTCTAACCATTTTTCTTCTTTATTCTCTTTATAGCTGTGTTAACTTTTTATTGCTATAAAAAGTATCTGAGATAATTTACAAGAAGAAATTCTTTAATTTTAGACAAGTTTCAGAGATTTTAATCTTTGTTCAGCTCCATTGTTTTATGACCTTAATTTATGCAGACCAGTATAGCAGGGAAGATCCAGAATCCAGCACAGAGTTCTCCCGAAGCAGGAGACACTCATGTGGGGTTTCAGAAACTTTCCATTACTGGGTTGCAAAACTGTGTTACACAGCAGAAGCATTTAGGTCAGCAGAGCCTGCTTCCTTTCGTGACTCATAGGTGGGTTATATCAATTGTCGGTCACGGTGTATGACTGGGATACCTTGCTTCCAATCAAAATTATTTCAGAAAATAGAATTGTTGTTTCTCCAACTTCATAATTTAAGTTTGGGTTCAAATATAAAGAAGGAAAAGGAGGCTTCACGATGCTTCTATTATTATTTACTATCAGATCAGATCGTTCCTGATTGTTTAGATTTACACCTTAAAACACCACCTGTGCGATACAGTATGTATCTTTTCCTCTAAAATAGGGAAACATTATGCCTCAGTGATGTGAAGCTGGCTTCTCATTGGTTTTTAATTGGTATCCAATCATTATTCGTGTTTTCTGTTGTATTTGAAGAACTATCACAGTCAACACACACTACTAGCCCTCTATTCAGACTATGAGAACCAAGTTGCTACGTGAAAATGCAGCAGGGTTAACAACCAAAGCACAATTTCATTAGCTTACGTTCAATAAGGTAAAGAAAATTAGATGTTTCTCATGACTAAATTTTGGGCGTTCTGCTGAATGATTAGAGTATGAATTATCTAACTGCATTCTTGATTATTCTCTGTTCTAGCCGTAGAACCTCGCTGTGATTCCAGCCTGATTTTCCAGTTCTATCTCTATGCATTTTCACAGTACTTTTAGTAAAGTTTCACCATCCAGCCCTGGAGCCAAGACTCTTCCTTTGTAATGAGGATGCTAACAGCAGGAGCAGGTGCTGGCCAGCAGCTCACCACGGGTTCCATTGTAGACAGTGGAGCCCTTCGGAGTCTGTTCTGTTCTGATAGTAGAGCTTGTTCTGATACTATCGCCTTAGGACTTTTCTTTTTGTGTTCACTCCTTTGGGAGTATACTGACCTATTCTGAATTCTACTTTCATGACTACATTTCCACTTCATAAAAAAAAATGTATCCCTTGTCTTTCAGGTATTGAGAATTTTCCTGGTTCTTCATTTCTTTCTTTCTTCTTCAGTAATATGATTGAAATGCTCAATTCATTAGAACCATTCCTTGGATGTGTCTTCCAGACAATTTGTCCTATGTTAGTTTGAGCTTCATTCTGCTAATAATGGTTTGGCATCTCTACTTCCTAACCCTCAAAGATATATATATATTTATATATTCTAATATATTTATATTAGAAGCTGAGATCTGCATATAAGAACATGTAGTGTTTGTACTTCTGCACATAGGTTACCTTACTTAATTAAATATTTTCTTTTTCACACTGTTCAACATAATTATACTCCCTTTATACTCCCTTTATAAATTTTGAGTATTATACTCCCTTTATAAACACTGGGATTCATGTCAGTTATCTTAAGATCTATGTCCCACAATAAACACTTACCCCAATGACAGTTGTACAAAGAGTCAGATATTGTCACTTCCCCCAGAGAAACTGTTTACTACAAATGTTCAAGTACTACTGAGCACCAAGCAAGCACCTACAATAGTAGGCATATCTACCCATGCAAACTCACCCACCCTACTAACCAACTCTCTAAGTGAGTTTGTCTTTAGCAAAGAGATGGCTAAGCTAGAGATTAACATACACCTTATCATAATCACTTAATCAATAAACAGGAATGCTGGGGTTTAAGCCTGTGACTCCTAAATCTAAGTCCAGTACTTATTTTTTTCTGCCATGTTTTTCATAGACTGTCAAGCATTCAGAACAGAAGGGAGATAAGGATATTTGATGACAACCTGGCCCTGTCAAGGATCTGATTTTAAACTGTCCTTGATTCTGCTATGCCAAAGCTTTTTCTATTCATAAATTATTTGCCACTTAATGGAGCTATTTTTTAAAATGTATGGAATCATGCTTAGGGATAAGCAGGGACTTAAACTACTGCACAATGGCTTTTGGCTTACACAGAGTCAGAGTACAGCTAATGGGAGGAAAGCAATAAATCTCAGGAAGACTCTAGTATCTGCTAGTCCTAGTTATTTATTTATTTATTTTTGCTGGGAGTCTGTGTGGCACATTGAAAACACATTTATTGACGACATGAAATTGCATAAAGTCTCTAAAAGAATATGGCATGATTGGTAGGTGTATCTGATAGAGATGGGCCCATTTGAAATCAATCAAAACAAATGGCTGACTTATGATCTAATGGCAGCTATTGAATGCTATCAACAAAGTAGAGCTTGACTAAGAAAGGTATCTTTTTATTTGTACTAAGCCATTTAGTGATGTGTGTTAAACTAAATTGTTTTGTTGTGAAATCAAACATAGCATAAATCACATATTTTAATTATGTTCATCTTCACTAGGTAAAACGAAGAAGAAATTAAAGTGGTCCATCCTTTGGTAAGAATAGGACCACCTGCTGTGTGTGTGTGTGTGTTAACAGTCAATTGTAGCAATTCAAATTTGCTTGTACAAGCATATAATTTTTCCTGCTCTCTCACCTCAATCAATATGACTCATCTTTATCTTATGACGGTTATGGAATAATGAAACATTTTATAGTTTGTGTTTTACTTAATATTACACAATAACTGTTTATTTTCTCTTACATTCTCTCCTTTACATTTTGGCACTTATTAAACTTTGTTCCTCAATTTCTTTTCAGGCGAAGCTGCAGATTTTCTACGGCATTTCCATGCATACTTGTGTTGGGTTGACCCACCCCCTGCCCTTTCCTTTCCATCATCTTTCTGCTCCCATCCCTGTTTAAACCCTTCCACTCCCAGCAGTTCCCCTTTCGCTTCGCTATCACAGGTTCAGGTACTCATCCCATCTGCTTTAAAGCGCCCCTTCTCCCCTCTCATGGGCCTATCCTACAAATAGGGGCCTCCTGGTATCTCTCTCATAGATGTGTGTGTGTGTGTGTGTGTGTGTGTGTGTGTGTGTGTGTGTGTGTGTGTAAGCTTCATATAAGAAAAAGCATGGCACTTTTGCATTGCTGAACCTGAATTCAATATTCAAAATTTTAATTTTGCATTCAACTCAATTCAATACTTCCCTGTTGCACCCATTTTGCATTAACACATTTTTACTACCCATTAACCTGCATCTCTAAGCTGATTCCATTTCCTTACTGTGGTAAACAGAGCATCAGTAAATGTAGTGGCCAAGGATCTCTGTGGTAAGAAGCAGAGTCTTCTGTGTACGTGTCCAGGAGTGATACAGCTGGGTATGTCTTTTTTGTGTGTCGCGAAGTCTGTACTGATTGCCATGGATGTGGCATCATCTTGCACTCCCACCCAGCATGAATAAGAATTCCCCTTTCCTCTCATCCTCCACAACCTTGACTGTCATTTGTCATGATAGCCATTCTGACAGGGGTGAGATGGAGTCTCAAAGTAGCTTTAATTTGCATTTCTCTGATAGCATGCTTAACATTTTCTAAAATGTCTCTTAGCCATTTTTCTTTCTTCTCGTGAGAATTTGCTGTTTTTATAACTTTTTATAGCCTTGGGAACAGTCCAGACACACATTCAATGGGAATTCCAAAAAAGATTGTATCAAACATGACTTATTACTGTATAACTAAACACATACATGACATATAACATGAATAACATAATAATTAATGTCTGAAGAGATTTTTTTTCTTTTTACACATGTGTGGTTATAATAGCAAATTTCCCAGTTTCTCAAGCTCAGGTGACAACTCTTGTAGTTTCAAATTATATCCTACACTTACCACATGCTTTTTCCTTGCCATGGAGACAAGAGTGGAAGGAGCTGGAAAAAAAAAACATAAAATAAATCCAGTAAAGCTATAGTTACCAAGGAAGTGTTTGATAGAAACTGTTACTGCGGGGAAGAAAATGAAGATTTTGTCCTAATGGGGCATAGAACCGGAAGAGCTAACCAAAGGTAAAATTAAAAAAAAAAATCTAGAAGAAGAAGTAGAAGATTCAGAATAACAAGAAATGGGGAGGAATTCCACATGGCTCCTACTGGATTGAGCAGGGCTCCACTAAGTGTTTGCAAAGTTATACAGGGGTGACACTTTGAGAGGAAAAGAAAAAAGACAAAAAACACTGTAGGCCACATTCATGACAAAACGCTTTACATACCAGATGAGTGGATGGAACCACTGCAGACCTGAAGATTTTCGGATACTTTTAGGTTGTCTCCAGAGACTCAAACAACCCAATTAGTATGTAGGAGCAGAATGTTGCAAGATTATACAGCAGATTTTACAAGCAGTGGAGACAAGTAGCTTCTCTATTGTCAGGAGGAATGCTCACTCTCCTTGCTCTAAGGGAAAGAAACAGAAAAAAATAACACAAGAGCAATGAGAAGAAGGAATGTAAAATCATCAGAATCTAATGAGGTTTATCGTGGATCCAGCTGCAATGCGATGGGTGCTCATCAGCTGGATGCTTTGCTCGCCTTAGACTTAGATGAAGACCCAGTGTGCCAAGGGTACCGCATGTGCACTAAACACACTTTTTCAATTAGAGAATATTTCAGTGTCACAGAGGATGGCACTGGGACTTTCGGAGCTGAACGATAAGAAGTGAATCTGCACCTTGGTTGTAAGACATCAACCATTGCTTACAACTCAGTAACTCATTTATTCTTTTCATCTCTGGTAGGAATCAATCATCATGCATAGCTCACAGAAATTTTAGAAACATATAAACTGACCCCATCTTATCTCATAAATGCAAGCAGATGTTAATTAGTATCTAGTATAGTGACATAAAATTGTAAAGACCACATTCAGCACCCTAGAGACTGAAGTACTGATAGATACCCTGTCGGTACTTCAGGACATACGACAGGAGAGGAGGGTGAAGGGATGAGAATGGAAGGAAAGAAGAGATCAAACTAAAAAACTAACTAGATTTTTAAAACATGCAAATCAACATTAAATGGTCACTAGTTATCATATGATAATTAGAATAAATGCTGGTTCTATTCTGTCTGTTCTATTTGGTCAAATCCTTCTTAACTATGAAGTTTAGTTGTTATTAATTGCAGTTAATATAATCATTAACTTTTTCTATATTTTTTACAGTACTTTAGGTACTCCTCCTATGGAAAATCAATATGTCAAATATTCAGTAGCAGTGACTTGTCTCGATACTTTTTTTCTTATAAAGATGCCTCCAGTGAGTTTTGGCATATAACTGTCATGCTGATGCTGCAAATCTTATCTATAAATGGACCTTTCAGAGCCATCATTGTGATCAGTGAGTGCAGCAACCTTCTGTTTGAGGACAGCATAAGTCAAGGCAAGGAGTCAGGGCCAGACACCAGAACAGGATGTTACAGGAATGCAAAGTGAGCACTCTGTAGAAGCTTCTCTCTCTGCTTAGCTCATGAAATGTGTGTTACAAGGATTACTTCTTCTTTACTCTTGGTGGGGTTTTTTAGGTGATAAAAGTAGAATCAACTTAAAAATATTTTTAAAAATTTATATGTATTCCAACACAAACAATGCTATGGCTTCTCTTTGGTGGGTGAAGAGGGGAAGAGCCCAGCTTCAAAGAATATCCAACGTGGCCTTTCTTCCTAGAGGGTTAAGCAATGTTTAACATTTTAAAGTTCTGAAAGACCCTAGAGTAAAGAAAACTCTCCTCTTCTCTCTTCGTAGAACTTCAGGCTTACATTTGGCTGCAGAATGCTTGCATTCTTTAGCATTGGCTCTCAACATATTTTATGGGTCTCTATTACTGAAACATCATACACGAAGAATAAACAAGAAAGAAAAAAAACGAAGACCCCCCCCAATGTAATCAAGCCAGAAATCTGTTGCACAGAATTTGGTAGGGTAACAAAGATCAAAGAAACAAAAAAATGCAGGTGATGTTCCAAAATTCTGAATCATTCTAGGCAAAATATCTCTCTAAAAAAATCATAAACACACACACTAATGTACATGAGTAAATAAATAAACTGGACAATAAATCACAGTGGGAGTGATCTCTCATAACTATGCCCCTTATGACACCCTTTTCAAAAGATTACATGGGGATAAAGAGCTGGCTCAGTGATAAAGAGCATACACTGCTTTTTCCAAGAACCCGAGTTCAGTTCCCAGCACCCATGTTTGGTATCCCATAATTGTCTGTAGTTCCAGCTCTAGGAGATCTAACACTTCCGGTCTCTGTGGACATTTGTACCCACTTGCACATACCCACACGTAGTCACACACAATAGTTCTGTGTGGGAATGGGAACCTAAGTGTGATGCCCAAGCATGGTAGCATACACATACAAGTCCATCACTGGGAATGATAAGTGGGACTGGAAGGATGGCTCAGCAGTGAAGAGGACTTGCTGCTCTTCCAGAGGATATAGGTTCAATTCCCAGAACCCACAATTCTTTGATGCTTTCTTCTAGCCTCTATGGGTACCAGGCATTCGCATGATGCCCAGAAATACAGACACAGACAGGCAAAACACCTTTACACATATAAATAAACTAACTAAATAAATAAATAAGGAAAAATAAAGATGGATAGCACCTTCTGAAGCAAAACACCTGAAGTTGTCCTTGGGCTTCTTATACTACAGGCTGATGTACACCAGTCCACAAGCTTCTGCATACCCACAAAAACACACATACATACACACACTATTCGAGTTCACTTCGTATTTAATCCTTGCAGATTTTTCACTAACTTAATGGAGCCTAGTGTTAAAATACAGATATGTTTTCAGTGTTTTGGAAAGATACTTTTCAGGCTCAAAAAGAATTGAAAATACTCTTTTCAATTAGACCAATGTGTGTTTAGCTTTCCGTTAGCCGGTTTTCTATCCTTTCCACTGAGCTAGCTTGATTGTTTCATCCAGATATAGTCCTCAGACAACAAACAGGCTCTAAGAATGATCCCTGTCCATACTCCAGTATTCAACAGCAAGGAAGATATGAAGGCAAGTGTGCTCAGACAGGTGTTCCATCCTGCTCTATGAACTCCATCTACCTTTCTCTTCAAGTCTCTCTTTCCACCCTGTATCTCAGTTAATACTGTAACATTTCTACTCTGGGCATTGATTCCAAACCTCTTTCAGGCATGTGCATAGACACATGACACTCTCTCTAGAACCGAAGAGCAAGTCGGGGCTTTTTCACAGGGCTGTGAGGAGAAGCTAGGGCTGCCAATGGGAGTCAAGCTGGGCTGATGCTCGTTTACTGAAACACCAAGTTAGATTTTTTTTTTTATTGAGAATAAGAAAAAAAAGGTTTCCGCCTCCTCCCACCCTCCCATTCCCTCCCCCTCCCCCCTCTCTTCTCCCCCTCCCCCCTCTCTTCTCCCCCTCCCCCCTCTCTTCTCCCCCTCCCCCCACTCCTCTCCCCCTCCCTCTCCTATCCAAAGAGCAGTCATGGTTCCCTGCCCTGTGGAAAGTCCAAGGTCCTCCCCCCTCTGTCCATGTCTAGGAAGGTGAACATCCAAACTGGCTAGGCTCCCATCAAGCCAGAACATGAAGTAGGATCAAAATTAGATTTTTTAAATCATGGAGCCCAGACCAAGAGTCTCTTCAAATCAGATAGTTTAAGGTGTAGAACAAATCTCCATGTTCTACTTCTTTCTAGATACCAGCCTGAAAATTTTGCCCTGGCTGTCCCACAGATACGGAAAGAGCAAAAATGAGTAGATAGATCCAGGATTTCAGTTACGTAAAGGATCAGCTCCAAATAGTGAGACGATGGTAAAACAAGGGCACCAGGTTTCCCTTTTAAATTATCTTAAGTTTCTGTTACAGTGCTCACTATTTTCAGGTGCACCTTACCAGATCATTACCCGCCTGCTGCAGCCGTCTGCCTCATCAATAATCAACATGTCTTAGTCCCTCATTGTATCGGCTCTGCTTGAAGCCCTTTGGAAGACAGAGTGCCTGTCCAGAAGATTGGCCGTCATTCCTAACAGAATGAAATGAAAAAGCTGTTAGGCCATTCACATGCTGCTGTTCCTCAACGGAGCCCTTGATTTATGTGCCCATGTCTACTTCCATGTTAGGATTAATAAAGATCTGTGTTCCAATTTCTGTTGTTTTCTGGATTATGCAATGATCCATTACAGTTTTAAATACATTTTTTTAATCACTAAATTTTACAATATGTCTATAAAAATTCCTCTAGATAGAGCCACTAATTTTGTCTTCTACAACAGTTCCTGGTAAAATTCTAATTTTAAAACTTGTCTTGGAAATTTATGCTTAGCAGAAATAAGAACATTTTGAATTTTGGGGTCTGAGTATGAACCTGAACTATAAATTGGAAGAATGAAAAGACTGGAGGCAGTGGTGGGGTTCATCAGTCTCCCACACTTCTGCCTTTGTCCCTACTTACCGACTCGTACATTATGCTGAGGGTAACACTTCAGCTTCTTCCTGTGAACATGCTCTGCCGAAAGTGCTACCAAAAAAGAATAAGGTCCTAGAGGAACCCAAAGTTTATGCAAAAATTTAACCTACTTATAATTTGAGTTGTTCACATGCAGTTTCTTGGGGAACAATTACCTCATTGTGTTTTCAGTTGTTCAGTTCCTTTAGGTCACATACAATTCTTAGCTCTGATTAGGTTAGCTAAAATTTCAATTTTCTATTCTCTGTGACATTCACAGGGTCTTCCTTGTTTGGGGGGGGAGGGGGGATTATAGTTTCAGTCCTAAAACTTAGACCAACACCCAGATAGTCAAATAACTATCTGAATCTTGTGTCCATGGCTTCCCAGCTTCAGTTTGCTTTTCAATGGATGGATACCATTTTCTCCATATTGCCAAGTAAAACATTTTCTAATACATTCAAAGGGCTCCTTTCTTGTTCTGCATGTAGATGCAGATCGAATGGTTTCCTTCTTCTTTGGTTGACAGGTAATATTTTTTCACCTAGCTTTAACAATCTGAAAGAATCAAAGGGAGTCAGAAAAAAAAAAATTGTCCTAGCCATGTTTTCTTTGGGCCACATTTTTCTAATACACAGCTGTGGTGGTTTGAAAGAAAACGACCACAACAGGGAATGGCACTATTAGGAGGTGTGGTTTTGTTGTAGTAAGTGTGGCCTTGCTGGGAGAAGTGTGTTATGGTGGAGGCGTGCTTTGAGGTTTTATAATCTCGAGTCTGGTTGGTGGGACACAGACTCCTGCTGCCTGTAGATCAAGTTGTAGAACTCTTAGCTCCTTCTCCAGCACCATGCCTGCCTGCCTGCTGCCCTGTCTGCCATGTCCTGCTGTGACGATATTGGACTAAACCTCTGAAACTGTAAGTCAACCCCAATTAAATGTTTTCCCTTATAAGAGTTG